ATGGGGTCTTCAGCTCGTCATCATGATCTCTGTGACTCACAGATAGGGGTTGATGTGCCTCTGCAGAACAGCATTCGGAACACTCTGGTGGGAGCCCCAGCCTCTCCCTCTGTGCATGTGCCAGGAATGCCTGCTGCCTGCATCTCCGTTCCAGGTCAATGCCATGATGCTGCTTTCTTCCCGCTGCAGTGGAAGCACTTTTGAAGCCGTCCCGAGGGGCGAAGGAAGAAAGGAGAAGGAGCTCAGAGGAAATAGGGTAGAAGATTGAAGAAGAATACTCAGCTTGGTGTCTCAGAGGGCAGGAAAAAAAGAAAGGAGAGAAGAAATGACGTTTTTCTACTTTTCTTGTTGTGAGGTGGAATTGAAAGGCAGGCAGGTACTACACCTGGAGCATGTGTAGTGGAAGGGATGGGCTCTTTAAAAGTTTAGCCCTAGAATATCCTGAGTGCTGCTCTGCACAAGCACATCAGGCCCTGTCTGTGAGTCATCGAGATCATGATGGCCAGCTGAAGTCACATGCTGCTCTGACATTTCCTCCTTTGGGTGCCTCCCTGATTTCATACCGCATTCATAGCCTGCCTTTGGGCTTCCCTTAGAAATCTGGGCTAAGGGAGTGAGTGTGTCAGTGCATGAATGACCACTCGAAGAACCGCAGTTGCAAGTAAAACTCTCCTCAGCCTCAAGTAGGGCAGACACGTTTATGTTCCAGTCGTGGCAGAAATGCAATTTCCATAGCCCTTATTTATGTGGATTTCAAATGGCTTTTGATAAAGTCTCCCATCAAAGACACATTAGAAAATGTAGCAATTATAAGTATAAAGTTCCCTTATGGAACTAATTAAAGAACAGGAAGCAGAGGGCAGGAGCACACAGTCAGTGCTTGCAATGGAGGAAAGTAAAGAGTGGAGTCTCCCAAGGATCTGGGTTGCAATTGGTGCTTTTTAACTGGTTGATAAATGATCTGGCATTAGGGGTGAGCAGCAAGATGGCCAAATTGGTTGATGACACCAAATTATTTAGGGTGGTTAAAAGGGCCCTTCAGAAAGAATTTCTCCCAGTGGAGGGAATGGGCTTTGCAATGTTTAGTACAAGCAGACTACTGGGATCTCAGCTTAAGCTGGTCTGAAGCAGTACGGGCCTCTTTACGTTCTGCTGTTTGTTCTATGGTAACGCACTTGTGTTTATCGAGTTACACCAAGACAGTGTGGAAGCAAAGTATTGCTTGTCCTTAGAAACAGTAAAGGCATAATTCTGCAAAGCTGCTGCCCAAATGATTGATGGCTTGATCTTGGAGGCGTCAAAAAACAGCCAGGGTCCCCCAGGTTGCTGCCAGCTCGGCAGGGTGAGCAGCAGAAGTTATTTTGGCCTCTCCATAATCCTCTACTGCCTTTTTCACTAGCCAGGCTTCTGCATCTAAGTTGGCTGCTGGGCACAAGGATGAAAGCCAAGAGAGTTCATGGCCTCTGCCCTCCCATTCCCATCATGCCTCCTGGCAGACTGCCCTTTCTCCATCCTCTTTCCAAGGCCAGAGCTCACCCTCCATCTCTGAAGTTGTAACTCTGTGTCTCAGAGAGACAGTCCTCAGGATCCCAAGGCCCCTCAGATGGTGCTTTCATTTATGTATTTAAAATATTTCTAGGCCTCCGTTCCTTTCAGGGTAAGGCCACTCCCAGTGAGTTTATACACAAAGAAATATTCTGATCCAGTAATAAAAGAATATAAAATTCATGAACAACAGACACAGCAATAAAATCATCTACAGCAGGGGTCCTCAAACTTTTTCTAAAGGGGGCCAGTTGACAGGTGCCAGCGGTGGGCACAGGCCACCAAGGTGGTGCTAGTGGGGGGGGCGCGGGCCGGTGAGGGGGTGGGGATGCGCAAGTGAGGCGGGGACGGAGGGGGCGCACATGGCGAGACGCCGGCTTGCTCACAAGCAGATAGTTTGTCCCGAGCTAGTCCCAAACAACCTCCTTGCAAGCAAGCTGCGTGCCCGCGCACACCCGGCAGGTGCAAAACCTGTGGGGTGGGCCAGTTAAATGGGCATGGCGGTCTGGATCCAGCCCGCGGGCCTTAGTTTGAGGACCCATGATCTACTGCAACATAACTGGGGAAAGCTGAAGTGAACCAGGTTTTCAAGGCTGCCTTAAAAGGCTGCAGTAGGGGGCCTGGTGTATCCCTGATAGTAGCCTATTGCAGAGGTGTGAGACCACTACAGAAAAAATCCTCTCATATAGACATGCCCCAATACTATCCCTCAGGTGGACAATCAAGAAGGGCCTGTATTATTGATCTCAAGGGGTAGGCAGACTCATGTGGGTGAACGTGGTGCTTCAGGCAATTTGATTCCAAACCATTTCTAGCATTAATGATCAAAAACAAAACCTGAAACGAGGCTCAGAAATGCACTGAGAACTGCACTAACCAACGCCGCAGCTGCGTATGGGCTCAGAAATGCACTAACCAACGCAGCAGCCACATATGGCGCCATCTGATCAGCTCAGCATTCAGGTGCCTGCATCCTTCATCAGCAGAAGTTCCTGAACTGTCCTTGAAGGCAGCCCGGTCAGTGACCCACCCTGGCGCACAGATGCTGAGTCAGGGCCCATCCTCTCTGGATTGGGCTGCAACCTCTGTACATTCCAACCTCAGCTGGTAAAACACCCCCCTCCTCACTTATGCCACTTGTCCTTCACCTGTCCAGTCAGTTCAGAGTCCAAGAGGACTCCCAAATTATGTGCTTTCTCTTTTAAGAGGAGTACAACCCTGTCCCAGAGCAGTTGTGGATCTCCATTCAGATTAGTTGGTTTCCAAACCCATTGGAATCTGTCTTGCTTGGATTAAGGTTGCACCTGTTCAGCCCTCAAACAGCCTCCAATTGCTGGTTTGAGTTCCCCCCATTTCTGCTGGTGTGTAGATGGAAACATGGAGTACTGCTAGATAACATCTACATTCTGCGGACAGTTCAGCTTAGACCTCCAGGTGACTTTTGCCAGCAGTTCCAGTGGAGTTTATGCACTTGGAAAACTTGTGCAGTTTCAGAAAATAGCTTGGTTTATTTTAATGGGAATGACTCAGGCTTCAAAGAACCCTAACTTATTACAATCATTATGGGAGGTTTTATGAATACATTTTTGGCCCTATGGAAAATTACACTGAAAGAAAGGATGTAGAATCTGAAGGCGATAAAATGTTGAAAGCAGAATGGCAAAATCTTTCTCTGTTAAGGCCATCCCACACTCTTTTTATTGCAGGAATCTCTGGATTTTGAAGCACTGATTAGGAGACAATCTCACAGTCGACTATGCAGCAATAAAATACCAAATTGAAATTGTTCTGAGGTCAAAGCAGAGCACAGTTTCCTTTTTCGTGGATAGGATTTGAGGGGAGATATATAGAATTTGATCATGCCCACATTATTTTCCGGTGTCTTTTCAGCTAAATGCAGTCCAAATGTAATTTTGGACAATCTCCTAAGCATGAACAGGCCCTCAGGGGTATCCAGGCTTCTTCCTATATATTTTCCTTCCTGTTTGTATGCACCATCCCTTTGTCCACCTCTCTTAGGTGCAGCTCTTCTCCATCTTTTCATTTTTCAAAGTTGGTGTTTTGTCAGTGTGTGATTTCAAAGTTTTGTGTGTGCATGTACATGCACAGAATTTCCATCACCATTACATACTAGAGATGTATGTGATTTCATTTCTGTTTGTAAAACACATGAGGATGCCCCATTCAAACCCTGAGTGTAAGGCTGTGTTGACCAGAAATATTTGCAGATAGTTGGAGGCATGTTCACATACATTTATCTCCAGGTTCCCAGTGTGATTTGCACAGGCATGTTAAGTTGCACAAATTCCCTCTGTGGTCTGAATCAGACCTGCTTTAGACTATGGAGAAAAACCATGGAAGTTTGAGGAAACTTGTACAAATTTCCTGTTTGATATTTGCTCAGTTTTTGCAAGTTTCATGTTTCTGCAGTGTAGGAAGAAATGGTGAATGGGAATTGGGCATGGGATAAGATTGTGTTCAAGGACTCCTGGTGATTTGTAATGTCATTTATTTGCCCATCCCTGTTAAAGCCCACAGTGGGAACAGGGGCCTTGTCCACGCAGTATTCTTGCTGAAAACCACCCCTCTGTGCCAAATCCTGGGGAAAAGGGGTGCTTCTATGGGCCTTCTAACCCCATTGGCCAAGCAGCTATTAAAAGAACAAACACCTTTTACTTTGGCTTTGAGCAGCTTGCAGGACACATATTTCTGCATTAGTGGAGATTTTAGAAATCTCTTCCAGCCCAGGAGCTTTGTTTGCAGTGAACCGTAACTCATTTGTGGTCTGCAGTGCATTAGTAGCAGCTACTGTGTTGGCAGAAATAGACAAGGCCCACTTACACACTCACACACACACACACACACACACACCACCTAAGAGTTCTGGTATAGCATAGTGCTTACACGTGTGAATTAGGAAGCTTACTTTAGCCTTGAAATTCTCAGGTGGCCTGGCAAGTTCCTACCTTGCATCTTTAGCCTCCATCTCTGATATGGTGATGGGATCCAGTGCAGTGTAGCTAAGAGCATTTAATCTGCAGTGCCCAGACTGGCGTACCTCACAGGGTTGCTGTGACAAATAATAGGTGTGGGGAGAATTGTGCATGCCACTCTGAGCTCTTTGGAGGCAGGTGAGTACATTGCATAATAAATACCATAACGATACAGATCTGGTTTGCAGGTTGTATCTGTAGCACTCCGAATGGCTGAAAAATGTGGTAGGTAAGCCAAGTATTCATTAACATTTGTGTTCTCCTCCTCTCAGGAGGGCAGCCTCTCTAAGGCTGCGTGCATTTACACTGCTTGCAAGATGTGCCCGAAGGTTGACAGTGCGTGGGAAGTCATGTCCTGGTGTGAAAGCTTCAGAACTGAAAGTGGTTTATGTGGCACCTAACTTGAGTCATTCCGTGTGATAATGGCGGTTTGTTTACAAGAGTGCCATTTCTGTTTTGCAGATCAGACTTACTGCGATCGTTTACGGCAGGACACAGCTTTTCTAACGAGCAATGGCAGACTGAATGAGCAGCTGGTTGACAAAATTATCCTTCAGCTAAACAGAGTTTACCCCCAAATTCTCACCAATAAAGAAGCTGAAAAGGTAATTGAAAAATGAAGATATATCTTATTACAGATATATGTTAATTTTCACTGGACATCGATCATGTGCTGTAGGTCACTCATTTGACAAGATTAGGGTCACCAATTTGTAAAGTTTTCTTATTGGTTTGGGATAGTGGCAGTGGTGCCTAGAAGATCCAAATTTCTCCACTCCCACTTCAGGGGGGCAAAAAGCAGTGAATTCTGGTGGATCTGAGGGTGAAGACTGAAGTAAAACCTTTCTCTGCCCAGTCAAGGTATACATACATCTGTTGTCCCTATTTAAAATCTTGTCCACACATGATATCAGCATTCCTCCCCTCTACTTTTGCTTTACCCATTCAAGTTTAAAATTCTGGTGAACTCAGTCAAAATGCAGCAGAGCAGGAAGTGAATCATGCCACAAATTACAGTTTAGAGCAGGGGTCTCAAACTCAACTTACCTGGGGGCCGCTGGAAATAGAGTCTGGGTGAGGCTGGGCTGCATCAAGTATTCCACCACCGTGGTGGTGGTGGGCTGCTCATCCCGTGTCGCTCCTGGAGGCCGGCGCTTTGAAGGCCGCAAGACCCCTCCCCCGTGCCCCACCCGTCCCGGCAATTGGCCCACGGGCCGCGAGTTTGAGACCCCTGGCTTAGAGCCTCATGTGCAGCGTATACTTAAAGGACAAAACAAGTGGAAGATCTCCCAGAACTTATTTACCCCATTTTACAGATCTTGGAATTTGCTTCTTCATTTGGATAGTCCAGGCCTAGTCAAGTTGCACTAAGCCTAGTTGTTCTGGCTCCCAAATAAGCATGCATAGGACCATTTAAGAGCAAGTCCTGTGTAATTTGATGTAGGAGGGAGATCCATGTGCTGAATCACAGATCTGTACCTTAGCACCTTAAAGAAAGGGTGCAATCCTGGGCATACATAGACCAAAAGTGAGGCCTGCCACTCCCAGCACACTCAAGACTACTTTGTACTCTGCCAGGAAAAAAATCAAGGTTGACAATCCCAAGTCTCAAAGTACTGTGAATAGAACACCCACCGTGTTTGTTCTGAAACTGCCATTCGCATTTCCATGGGTTCAGTTCATATTGACAGAGCACCCTTTGTGTGCAATCCAAACATCTGGTTATCCCACTAAATACAATTATGTCTTGTTTATACTCATACATATTTGCATAGTTTTTAATACTAATGAAATAGCAATTATATCCCAAATAGAACTGTTACCCATTCAGTTAAACCTTTCTGCACTTCCACATTCGAATGCTTGTGATGGATGCGTTGGCTGGGATTTTAAATTCTCGTTGTGAGCAAGTTCAGTGAGCATCCTGTTAAGTTGTTCTTTATGTATCTGGGGATTTCTGTCAAATCAGGAAGTGGGGAACGTGTAGGATGGAGGTGAAGTACCCTTTTGAGATGGGAGGCCAGCTGGCCAGACTGCCAGGCCCACCGTGAGCCAGATGACATACTGGGTATGAAGTCATATTGAGGGAAGTGCCATTCACCGTTCTCTGAAATCATCACCTCCATATTCTCTCTGTCTCTCATTTTCTGTGCTAGGAGAGGCATGGAGCTCCACACTTTCTTCCAGCAGAGAGAAACAGACTCAGCTAACAGCAGGAGGAAGAGAAGCTCCTCCTGGTGCCAGCCAAGTCCCTGGTTTTCTCTGGTGCCACAACACTGTTGAGCTCATGTGAAGAAAAGCAGCCTGGAGCGAGGTCCTGCCTTTGCACAGCCCCAAGGCCCCAGTGCTTTGACATTCCCCTGCTGGTATGTCTGTGTGCAAGGGAATCGCCATACTTGGTCCCTAAGGCCAAAGTGGCAGGATTCATGTTTGGTGTTTCCTTATTTGCCCATTTAGTCCTTATTAATGCATGCACATAATGACTGATCACTGCTGTGTGTTTGTTCAATGGAGTGTGGACTGGTCCGTGTTAGATGATGGAGAAATCCTGTTATTTAGTCTTCCTTGGCCACAGCTGCCTGTCACATCAGTAAAACATCCTACATAGTTTGCATAAAATCTTATGCTCTGCGTTCGGTACATTTAAACATGCTACAAAGCCAGCTTTGGACTTTTTCTTATGTCATTGAAGTGAAACAGTGGCTGCCTTAAAGTCATCTTTGTTACTTGATTTGAAAGTTGGATTCAATTCTTTTATTGTATTTGTAATCAGTGCTTTTTCCTGCAGTTTCGGAATCCCAAATCTTCTCTTCATAGTCGGTTGTCAAACCTTTTAGCCCACCTGCAGAAGCAGGGTGACAAACCATGTCAAGAATTTTACCGTGCTTTACAGATCAATGCCCAGCAGCTGTATAACAACTTGCCAAGCAGGAGAATTTTAAGTAAGTTGGGATGTTAACACTTTTATTCAGTCGCTTTGTTATTATGTTCAAAGCTGCCTGTGTGATCTGTCAGCCAAGTGTTTGTTTATATCTGCTTTATTTGAAGCTACACACTGATTTGGCATTTTTAAAATTTAGCAGCTCTGGACTCCACACAGTTATTTTGTGTTTTCTTTTACAAATGTTGAAAAATAGCTTCTGGAATCAGAGTTTGGGGTTGACTGGTTGTCTAGTACCTGGATCTGTGTGTGTCCAGTGATTTCAGATATTTAGAAACATAGAACATAGAAACAGAGCTAGTCAGAAGGGGCTTCCTGGGCCATCTAGTCAGACCCCTGGCTCCAGCCAGCTCTACTCATGACATGCCTACCATGACCTATTTAGGTCAGTTTTACACAGAATCCAAGCAAGGCTGTTTTTAATCTAGATTGGTCCTGAGTGAATCACATGGAAAAACATGGTGGATGATTTACTTTCCAGAAGAGCATTAGATTTTTCAGTCTCCAGGGTTCCATTTGACTTTTAAAGGCAAATGTATTTGCAAATCAGCTAGCCATGTATTTGAAGACCTATACTATTTCAGTCTGACAGCCAGTTACGATCAGTGAGAGTCTTTGGTAAAACTTACATTGGTAAAAGTTGGTGAAAGGTAAGATTCTAGTCGTCCAGAATTCTTGTTAAAAAGCAACTCAATGGAAAGCAACGCATGGAAAGCCTTCCGACCAAGCAGTTATAAACAGTTATAGCCTAGACTAGAATTACTTACTTCCATAAGTCTCTCACTTGATTTAGAAGATGTTGTCTTTTTGCAAATATTTACTGCGCCCTTACTATTTCAGTCTGACAGCCAGTTACGATCAGTGAGAGTCTTTGGTAAAACTTACATTGGTAAAAGTTGGTGAAAGGTAAGATTCTAGTCGTCCAGAATTCTTGTTAAAAAGCAACTCAATGGAAAGCAACGCATGGAAAGCCTTCCGACCAAGCAGTTATAAACAGTTATAGCCTAGACTAGAATTACTTACTTCCATAAGTCTCTCACTTGATTTAGAAGATGTTGTCTTTTTGCAAATATTTACTGCGCCCTTAATCCTACTGGCTGAACTCCAAAGAGATCTTGCGCAGTGTAGTGGAGCAGCAGTTCTGTTCCTTGCACCTAGGATGTCATCGGTCTGGCTGCATGGAGGGCGGGCATGTGTAGTTGCTGGTAATATAACCTCCGTGACTTCCAGGGAATCAATGCATACGATGTTAACGGCGGGCTTGCCACATTGCTGGAGTCCGCATGTGATGCATACAGCACATTTTAAAGCAGCTACTGCATGGTAAGTTACAGTTTGAACCTCCCTCACTCTCCCCTACACATGCAGTTCACCTTACTTTCTATCCCGGTACAAATACCTCTGGCACTTTTTGCAAAAAAGCTAGCTTACTTTGACAAAACTGCTTCTGCCTTGTAGCCATGGCAAAAACTAGCACAATTATATCCACATTTAAATTAGCTCGAATTAAATTAGCGCAGTGTTATCAGTCAACTCATGAATCAGATTGAATTGGTTTGCGAAGTTCAAATGTGTATTGGGTCTGTCTTCATTCCAGTCACCGAGCTAATCTTTGGAGTTCAAGATTGATCCAAGTGGTGTATGCGAGCAGCTCTCTTCTCCGCACGTGCCCTGTCTGCGCGACTCCACAGCCGCCTCCCACCGGCTTTGCACATGCCCCTCCATTGGCCGCATCGGTGTCGGCAATGGGTCAGTCCACCGTGGATGCAGAGCACCTGTAGCACCTCTGCCCACGGCCCTCCTCCATCCTGTACACAAAGCAGTGGGGATGGAAATGCTGGGCGTTGCAGGGCTCTTTTTTCTTTTTCTTTTAAGTCTAAATAGGCACAGGAATACACCTTTTAGCTTGGCTAATTATCATGTCTGCCTGACCAGTTCCATCCTACACAGGAAGGACCTAGTGTCAAATCCTGATCACAGTGAGACCTTTGGCTGGCCTTGATTGTGGTTAAAGTCCAGGCAAATTGAAGCGTTCAGCCTGTGTCACTTTTGAGCTGTATCCAGAGGAAGGCACATCAGTATTCATTAGATTTCTCAATTCATGGTATCTTATTTATCGGTACAGAAAGGGAAATCTGCACTGATTTTTAAGGTAGGGTTTTCTAAGGGACACACTGCAGGCAGTAGGGAGGAATCATAGATGGACTATTTTTCCTTTATACTTTTTGAGTGTTCAGTTTAGGCAGCAGCTTTGTGTCAGCACTGTCCTTCCTTGTGTTCTGTTGATTTGATAAGATTATAATAATCATATTTGTATCCTGCCTTTTCTTTCTAGGGAATTCAGTGGAGCAAAAACTCTGAGACAGACAGGACTGAGAGGGAGGGAGGATAGAAGGAAGTAGCTTGCTTTTGACAGCATGCTTCCCCATGCTGAAGGGTTGGATGTGGGTTGTCATTGCACCATAGGTGGCTACTGAAATGTGGCTTATCCTGTCTGAACTCAGCAGAGATAGCAGACCATGGTGAACAACCCACATTTCATACCCAAACAAACTATGAGTTCTCTTCATGGGTTGTTCATAATTAACAAGCTACAGCTGGGTTCAGACAGCATGACGACTCATGGTTCTGTAGCATCAGCAACCCACACCCCAAAGGACCGTCCACACGTAGCTGATACACATCCTTTGAGGAGTTGTTTAGACCCAGCCAGTGGCTTACCCAGATCTGTCAAAGGAGCTTGGAGGCTATTCCACACATTCTCTGTGTCAGCAGACTCAGGTCTGTGTGACTCAAGAGAGGGAACTGCAATCATTCTTAGCTGTCTGAGATGTGCATCCAGATAACAGGTGTATTTCCAAACATGAATTGTCTCATTTGTAGATTTATGGTTTGAGATTCACTCTTAAAATAAGAATAGTGTGCGAAGAGCAGACCCTGAGCAGAGATTGGAAGCCAAATTTGCTTTGTCTCAAACTGGCTCTCAGTCTCACCATGCAATTATTTCCACTATCAAACTAGCTTTTTCACTGCTAGTGGCCCTGCATGTCATCACTGATACTGACCCTTTGTTCACGCGGCTCTGTAAACAGGAGTGGACAACCTCAAACTCCAGCCCTCCTACATTTCCCCAGATGGCCCACCCCTTTTTTATTTTATTTTATTTTATTTTATTTTATTTTATTTTATTTTGGTGGCTTGTTTTCTGGTTTCTTGACTTTTGTGCAGTTTTTTTCCTCCATTCTAAAAGGTTGAAATCTCTCCTAAGACTTCCTTACTGCTTGCAACTGCAGCTATGGGTCTCTGCCCTCTTGGCTGTCAGCAACCCACTGTTACTGGAATGTGGTCCCTGAAACCTTCTCTGAAAGGAAAAGCAGCCTTCTTGTTGAAAGAGATTCTGCGCCCCAGCTGTAAAGCACCTTGTACACTGAAGCTGCTACAAGGCTGCAGTCCTTTGCTCAGTGCTCAGGGAGTAAGCCCTGTTAAACACGGTGGAGCGTAATCTGGGTATGGAGGAGATGCACGGTAAAGTCTCATTAACTTTCCCTGACCTTTTATCCTCCAGATGTATTAGACTACAATTCACAGCATCCCCTGGCCGTCCAAAACATCTGGAAGGCACCAGGTTGGGGAAGGCTGGAATGCAGTCATAGACAATCACCTTCCACAGATCTTTATGGAACTTACTTTTGAACAAACATGCATAGGCTTGCACCATGAATACAGTTATAACTTTGTAACACTACAGTATTATTGGGACAAAATAGTAATCAGCCTCATCACTTGTGGTAGTAAAATATCTAGCTATTTTCACCTAAGGCATTTCATTGTACAATGGAAAGATTAATGTAGAAATTGGTGATATTGTATCTAATTTTAGTATGACCTACTCATTTTAGAAATATTATACATTTTACAGTTGTTCTATTGCATTATGGTCCTGCCTGAGAAACTTGTGAACTGCCAAGGGAGTGTCAGCTACTGGGTGGTATAGAAATGCATAACATAACATAGCAACAGGGGTCAGCTAATTTGAATCCTTGACTCAGTATATTAACAACCCAGCTTGCAAATGGAAGGCCGCAGGCCTTGGCCAATAGAAGCCATTCGTCTGTTGCAGCTTTTGTGCAATTTCCATTTTACTAAAAGAGACAAATGTGGTTGCATGCGTGTCTTCAAAAGCCTGCATAGTTTCCAGGATTTTTTCCAGACCTTCTTAATCATGCAGTACTGGAAAGCTTCTGTTCTTTAGCCTTTCTGAGAACACAAAAGTTAATTAATTCCATCCATAGCTGTGGCTCAGCAGGCTTGAATAACAAAGCAGAAGGAACAGTCAGCCACATGCTCTTTGGGCTGCCTTTAAAGTTGAAGCAGCTTCCCCCTAAACTCACGCTTCAGACCCCCTCCCCTCCTCATCTACATGTTGCAAATTGCTAAAACTTTGCATGGTGATTTGGTGCAAGTCTCACATCATGCTGGAGTTGAGTGAGTCATGAAGTCCCGGGGTCTCCCTCTCAGTTACACAATGCCTGTGTCAGACTTCCCCAACCTGGTGCTGTCCAGCTTTCACGGGCTTCAGCTCAAATCAGCCCCAGCCAGCGCAGCCAAGAGTCAGAGATCCGTGGAGTCCCAGTCCAAAATGGCCGGAGGTAGCAGGTTGGAGAAGGGGTTCCTCTGGGTTTGGAGGGAGCAGTTTGTGTAGGAAACGAGGCAGGAGGAAAGGATGTCGTCTCAGGTTGCTGTAACCTCTTGCCAGCAGTCCAAACCCATGTTTACCTGGCAAATTCATTCTAAACACCTGGCATTTGTCCTGCTGTACATCTGCAGCATTTGAAGCGAGTGTCAAATGCTAAGGAGTATATGATTTTGACACATGTACATTGCGTATGAGTTTATTGAAAATACAAAGAAAATGGAGTTTTCCATTGTTGCAACTGAGTCTATCTTTGCCGTGCTAGGTAGCCTGTTTCTCATGCTGCTAGTAATAACGGTGGTGAGGTAGAAAAGTCTGCTCACAGGTGAGGGGTCCCACCTGCTTGACTTTAAGAAAAGGGGAAGTTCAGCTCTGTGTGCAACGTTCCCCTTGCTCTGCTTAGGGCTGCCTGCAGATTTATCTGCAGGTGGAACTGAGGGGAAAAGTGCATGGAAAATGCCACAGACTGTGAATTGGCTATAAATAAATAAATATAGTTAAAGAAATGTTTTTTGCAGTCAGTTACTATTTGTTTAAACAATGGCACCTTCTGTAATTAAAGCCTTTTCAGGGTGGAAAGTAAAATAGATTGGCCTCTTGTAATTCTTCACTTGTGTAAGACAAGCTGGTTGCATTTTGCCCTATAAATCCTTGAACTGGGACAAATCTGGAGTTCTGCAGTATTCCCTCTGCTTTTTGGTCTTGTCACTGGGGTCAATTATGCCACATAGGATTTAAACTAAGATGCCTCATCTAGTTCTCAGAGGTACTTTGTGAGAAGATCGATGGTAAAGAACAAGGAGTTCCAGAAGATGCCTTGATGTCTGTCCTGCAGTGCACAGCTGCAGGGATGTGTTGGCTGGGCCTGGGGCTCACACAAAGCCTCACTGGAATTATCACCATGTGATCAGTGGCACCCTAGCACAGGGATATGGGCCAAATCTGTGGGGTTCCTGAGAAGACCTCATCCCTTTCCCCTGACCATCAGTTTGGTGGTTTGCCAGGTTTGCCCAGTTTCCCTTATTCTAAAAGGTCAAGATGTTTCTCCTGAGGTTAGCTAGTGACAGCAAGGACCTGAAGCTAAAATATGCTGGAATTTGCGATATTTGGTCCTATTGCCTTGGCCCCATCTCATTTTGCCTTTGCCTGCCACTAGCAGGTCATCCCCAAGAACAACCCTGGCATTACATGTGGCCCCTGGACAGAAGCACCACTCCGGCTCCGCTAGAACATACCTCTGTCCTCACAGACCTCGGCCCCACTCAGGGGCGGTTCCCCCTGTAGCTGTGCAGTGGGGCCCCTGCGCGTTGTGGCCTCCTGCACCACGGAAGAGGGAATGCTTTGAAGCTGCATCAGCGCATGATTTCAGCAATGAAACAGCCACACACCAGTTGTGGGTTGCTTCCTGCCAACTGAACGATGAGCCATTTCTGAAAGGAGTGATGCTCTGTATATACTGTGAGGTACAGAAGGTGAAGCTGCATTTTGCCTCAGATTCCGATTTATTTTGTGATTGTGTTCACTGGACCAAACCACAGCTAAACCGTCACACCGTGCTAAAATTCGGGAATGGCAGGCCTCCCAACCTTTTGCTTTGGCTCATTTAGCAATAGTTTTGTGAAGGCTTCTGGGAGAAGCAAATCATTTAGCTAAAATTGGGGCAGGGAGAGTCAGGGCACGAAGCCTGTAGGCTACTTAGGCCTTCCCGCCCTTCCTTGTCTGAGGGCTGGCATAGCATAATGTTGAGGGGAGGGGACAGTGGCAATTTTGCGTCAAAGAATATTACATTGAACACCAGTAACGCCTTTCCTTCCACTTTGCATGACTTGCTTCGGAGTATGCTGGACTGAATACAACTGAATACTAACTCTTGGTGTGTTGCTTTTGTTTCTAGAAACCTCAGATCCCACAGGGATAAACCCTGAGAAGGAGAAATATATTCTAAATAACAGGGGTAAATAACATGCATAAAGTATTACTGGCTGAATCAATATTGGACAGGGGAAAATAATTATGTTACTATAATCGTTTTCATGACAATTTTAAATTCTTCGATGTGTACACATATTTTGATTTTAATAGATTAAAGATGTATTTTCCGGATGGTAGTTCCTAGGTTATCCAAATTGATAATCTGATGTCATAACATCCAAGATTTTCTAGGTGTTGAGGGGGGGTCAATTTAGGATACACACCATCTGTGCTAATACTCCTGGAATTAATGGGTGCTGTGCTAAAGCACATTAATTTCTAGGGTCCTTGCACAGGGGATATCCCAAAGGTCTGCACCCCGATGACCAAAATATTAACCACAGTGGGACTCCAGGTGCAAAGCCTGCTAAGCCACATTTGCATTGACAGCTTTGAGCATTTGCACATATTGTAATAAGTTCTGATTCCATATGAAAACGTTTAAGTTAAGGTTAAGCCAATCTTAAGATTTAAGCAGAAGCCCTCCACCGGGAACCCTCTGTGAAAGACATTAGGAGGGAAAATACCTGGAGAAGGGCCTTCTCTGCAGTGGCGCCCCGCCTATGGAATGCGCTCCCCAGAGAGGTCCGCCTGGCGCCGTCGTTATTTGTTTTTCGGTGCCAGGTTAAGACCTTTTTATTTCAGCAATATTTTAATAAGTTTTAATATTGTGTCCTGTATGTTTTTAACTACAGCCAGTGTGGGTCGATAATTTATTCATGTTATATTTTATTTTATTGTGTTTCATTTATGTAAGCCATCCTGAGGCTTTCGTGACAGGATGGCATATGAATACTTTAAATAAATAAAATTTAATTTTATTTAATTTAATTTAAAAAAATCTCCCTCTCCCTGCAATTACTGTTAGCTGCTGGGTTTGTTTGTGGCACATGGGGGTTTACAAAGATGTACATTAGATTATCTTAAAATAGCTCTGCAATGACTATTTGAGATGCCTGCTCAGCTCCACCAAGTTCCACCACTGGCCCTCCTTGGCTCCTCTTCTGCATCTTAGGAAGGCAGGGAGAGGACCAGGTACCCGTGACCTCCTGCCAGCTGGGCATTTACTCTTTCTCCATTCTCACCTGTGATCCCCATGTTTTCTACAAGACACAGGCTCATCTTGGGTTGCATCAGCTGACCCTGCCCTGAGCGCCTTCTGTTCAAGGAGCCTACACTGTTTTCATGGAGCCTACACTGCATATGCAGAAGCTTTAGGTGCAGGTGGGAGCATGGGCAAAGCCTCCATGCAAATGAGGATCAGCAGGTGGCTCTGACTCTTTGTCCTGAAATAATAGAGGAGAAGACAGGAGGAGGAGGGAGAAGGAACCGTCTCTATGGAGCAGCCTCTGCTGCTGGGGTGTTGAACCTCTTTCTGCCTGCAAGCCAAATTCCGCTGTGGGGAAGCTCTTGGGGACCTCATTCCCGTGGGGAGGAGGCCAAAATATCAGCAATATTTGCTAGTAAATATTTGCTAGTAAAAGCCTAACTCCAGGAGAGACATTTCAGTCTTTTAAATGGGAGGAAAGCAGTGCAAACACTGGGAAACCACCAACATTTTGCGGTTGGGGGGTACGAGGGCTGGAAGAGTAGGCGTGCTCCTCTGGAGTTCTGCAGTGGAGCTCTCGGCAGGCCACATGCTGCTCAGGAGGCCTTCCTTCTCATCTTTCCTAAACCAGGATGGAAAATGAGGGACCCACTGGTACAGTCCTCACAGAGATACCCCAGATTGCCACAGGGCAATTATTGAGGCTGTTTGCTTGTATAATCTGATATTCAAGCAAGTACGTAATGGAAAGCCAGATTTATTTCATGTAAAAACTCAGAAAATGTTCTGTTTTTTGTCCTGCAAATATTAAATGTAAAAGACTGGCAAGTTACAAGAAACAGAAGCAGTCATACTCATAATCACATTAATTGCAAATAAAAAATATTACTTCAGCAATTAGAGATTACATATTATAGTACATGAAGCACAATGCAAATATAATTATTCTGGTTGCATTCACATCAATGTAGTTAAGCATAGTAGCAAGAAAAACAGCCAATGAACTATTAATTCAAAAATATAATTTTAAGTTTCTCTGGTCTTTTAATAAGTGGCTGATTTCTCTTTTCTTCTCTAGGTCCTACATTTTTTCTTGCCTGCTTCAGTGTTGCTGCAGGTTTAGCCTTCTTCATGTATTGCTACAACCCAGGTAATTAATGCTTTAATTAAACAATCAATTAAAATTATTTTTTTTCTGAGTTACTAAATAGTTTTAGTAAGTAGGTGTATAAGCCTATTTCTCTTGACATAAACATAGTTTGAAAGGTTCTATATATGGGTAAAGAAGGAACTTCTCAGATGTGACTGATCCGTGAGACTCCAGTGGCAAGCTCTTCCGAAGTCACTTACACATTTGGTAAGGCTGGCAAGCTCTTCTGAAGTCATCTAGAGGCTGAAAATATAAACAGAACAAGAAAGGACTCTTCTTTGATGGATTCCATCTGTCTGTAGAAATGTGTGAATCTGCAAAACTCAGGCTCCCTGAAATTCCACCAATTCCATCTCGAAGTTCATTCCAACTTGTGTCCATATCAATTATGAACTTTGGGGCTTTCAAATAAAAAATACATAAAAATACAGCCATGTATTAGTATGTATTTTTCTAAATGCAGTTGTGCTCACTTTTGAAACATACTCCTTCTCTGATTGATTGAAGTATATTTGTGTGCATTTAACAAAAGGATGGATTTTTGTTTTTTTATTCAAACGTACGTATATTGTTGAATGATGTTTTTGGCCCGCAAATCACACTGCAAGCTTGCAAATGTATGCATTTTGGTTGCAGTTTGTGTCTGAAACTGCATTCAGCCCAAAAGTATGAACTGGATAAAATCCTAATAAAAATGGGCTGAAATTCATTTCTCATTGGTCCCTATCTGTATGCCACCAATGATGATAGAAGTGAAAACAGACTGCTTGTTCTGATGTCTGATGGCTTGCTCTGTGATGACTATACCACAATCAGCTTTTCTGAATGCAGGTGCACACTCTCTCTACTTCATCACTGGGAACATTTCACCATGAAAGAGAGAAACTATGTGACTTTGTATCATTTCATACTAGATTACGCATTTCATATTCAATACAGCCTACCCCAACCCATGAGATCATTCTTGCATCACATATTTCCTATCACGGTTATTCTATACAATGTCATGCTATGTTATTTCATATTCTAGTGTAGCCTTTGTATTCATATATATAATTTTGTATACTAGTACAAACTGACCACTCTTCAGATGTGCTGGATTACCACTCATATTGGCTGGAACTGATGGGAGTTATAGGCTGACAAGGTGCCAGGCTGGGGGAGGCTGTTGGATCTTGGGAGGCGAGAGCAAGAGGTGTTGGGCAACGCGGGTGAGCCTTGGCAGAGAGGTGAATTGAGTGAAATGCTTGCATCGCTAGGCCTTTCTGCTGGCCAGGGTGCTGTTCCTTCAGTATGTCTCTTTGCCAGGTATTTTTCCAGGTATTTTCCCCCTATACTTTCTATACTGAAATCTTCTGCCTTAAGTGATTGTGTACCTCACAGATAGTTCTTTATGCTCTCTTATAAGCTACATTTGTTGATTTCGGAGAGACTGAAATAATCTAGTTGGCTTTGGCCTCCACTCAGTCGATTTCACTTACTGTATTACTATCCTAAATTTTCTGTTACTTGAGACATTGAGGTTTGAGAGTCCTGACATTTTCTTGTTCGATGCTGTGTGATGCTGTGATTCGAAGTAATGATTTTTATATCCCATAATCTAGTAATTTTGTGGAAGGGCATAGAATAATCCAGACATGAGCATTCTTGGGAACCACCTTTCCTCATATGCTTGGTAATGGGCCACTTCTTGTGTACATACCTGGGAAGGAAATACCACCAGGAAAGATGCAGATACCTGGGGCTGACATGAGCCCTACAATGTGGTTGTCAGAACTCTAGAGTTAATGTATAGTTCACTGTGAATTTAAGTAAAATAAGTGATTATGACTACATATCCCATGCATGATAACATAATTATTCCTTCAAAGATAGGTTAAGAACTCTTCTTTAAATCACAGACCATTCTGTTGCTTCATCTACAAAGCACTGAATAGAAAAGCTTTCCTCACCTGGGTCAGTGGCCCTGCTGGCCAAGAATAATGGGAATTGTAGTTCAATGCATCTGGAGGGCACCAGAGTAGGGAAGGCTTAATTAGAGAAATTCTCTTAATTAAGGGGGCAGGGGACAACCTATTGTTTGCCGGAGGCCATTTGCTATTGTGGTGATGGTGAGGGTTGCATATCCGGCTCATGTCAAGGAATGTGTCATCCCATTGCTGTCTTCTGTTTCATCGTGTTTCCATTTTTTGTTTCATCCTAGATTCAAAAGTCCTGGGAGGAGCCAGGAAGGTGCTGGGATTTTCCCCAATCATCATAAGAAGACACGTTAGGAACATTTGCATGCTATACATGGAAGACTCGTAGAGGAAACACCGGGGGTAAACTAGCTCTGCTGGCTGGCACTGAATGCCCCTGGCCCTGGAAAGGCAGCTTTGCAAGGAGATATGCTGTTTTCTTATACCAAAGATATAACCGCGTGGCTTTAGCAGTGTGTCATCCTGCTTCCAAGGGACTTCAGAATGTCAGCTATATGTCTTTTTCCTGTGGGAGGGGGATATTTTTATTTTTGTACAATGTTATTGCAACCTATTTATCGTGTGGGAAAACAAGCATACCTGCATTTTAGTGTTGCCCTGAGCTTTGCAAGGTCTTCAAGTATTACGTGATTCTGGTCCAGAGGAGGCACAAAGCGGTCGCCACTCCCAGCGGGGCCAAGTGTTGTTCTGGTGCTTGCGCTGCACCTTGGGGCCCAGCCGTCGCCTGTCGGGGGAAAGGGCGTCCTCACCCTCGGGGAAGCTGCCTCGAGCTCCTCTGCTGGACGGAGACGAGCAGAAGAGATGCCTTCCGTTCTGCTCACGTTCCCACTGCTCTGCACCTGCTGGCCCACGGGAAAGTAGCGTTTCCTAAGGAAGCCCGACAAGCCGGCCCAAACACTCATTTCCAGTCTTTGGAGCTCCCTTTTTCCAATTGCACTGGCCTGCCCTGCTCTAGAAGGTGCCACCTCATCTCATTTCCAGTTGCTTAGCGGGGGTCTCCCGGCTTCATGGGCTGCACTGGATGCCGCTCCTTCCCCGGCCAAGGATTCCACTTAATATGTAAAGCTTGTGTAGCTGCTAATGGAAGTGTCCACAGAAGACATCTTTCCTGGTGTGTCTGCTAATCCCTTAGCAATTGCAAGGCGAAGCACAAAGACCGCTGGCTTTAGATAACATTTTTTTTGAGCAACACTTGAAACGTATCAGCAAGACTTGAAAGAAATGCACCCAAAGCCTTATTAAGACATGGAGTGTGTAGTTTAACTTTTAAAGGTCAGCACTGTATGTTCTCTTTCTGTTCTTATGTACTCCAGGAGCTCAGAGTGACATGAATAATCCGGGGAAAAGAAAAACTGTCATAGATTTGTTTGCTGTGCAAGATTCCTTGTCTTTTCTTATGCCAGTTCCAGGGGTACTTTTTTTTAACGTGTGGGAAGGAATTCAGCATGGTCCAAAGCCCTGACTGGCTCGTGTATTTATGATGAAATGGGGGCAAGGAGGCGTTGCATGTTTTAGGAAATTTTGTTTGTATATCTAATGATACTTATAGCAGTGTTAATAATATATAACCAAAAAGGAAAGAAAACCCCTCCCCCCCTTTTGGAACCAAATGCATGTTTACCTTTAGTGTGTGTGCCTATTATGTATGTCCATTTAATTGTTTGTAAGGTGTCAATCATATAAAACGGGTGAGCTGACTAGACTAGTAGAATGCTCCTAGAACATTGCTTGGAGTCTGATGCATGCCCATGTGCAGGCGTGAAATTTGGTGCTGCATGTTCTGTGCACCAGCCTTGGATTTGTGTGCTCTCTTCTCCTCCACTGGTGCATGGAAAGAGGATCAGAAGCTTTTGCTTCTGTGGTCAATTAACCAAAGTTCATTGCTTCGTCCAAATCTTGAACTGTGGTTAGTCTTTACTATGGTTTAGGGCAGGGATGGCCTTCCGGACATTGTGGCCTGCAATCAGCATATCCTCAGTTTGCTCACTCCTAGTTTAGGGGAGTAGCCTGGCTTTCTAAACCATAATTAGAACTTGGCTCATTTCAAGAATCCATAGTTAAGAGTGTAAAATTCAGAGTAACTCCAGTTTGTCCAGGTTTGGATGTGATGGCTTTTAACTAAACCGTGTTTCGTTAAAAATGGAAAGCATCCATTCTCCTCCAGCTGCTCTGGAGGGCAGAAGGGGGGAATTGATAAGCTTGAGGTGTGTTTATGTAATGAAGAGAGCCAAAAGCCAGCTCTCCCAACCTGGCCTGGCCATTCTGGCTGAGGACTGCAGGAGGTGCAGTCCAACACATCTGGTGGGCATCATGTTGGGAAAGGCTACCATGGATGGTGGGGAAGCCGTAGAATGGATAATGGCCAGGGCTTTTCATGCATATCTTGGAAAGGCTTCTAATCTTTAGAAGCCTATGTGCTTTCTAGAGATTATGGGGGAAAATATTAATCCTGAATGAAGTCTTTATTTGGCTGCAGCAGCAATGGGTTGTTTAATTTGGAACAGCTCCACTGTTGTTTAATTTCAGCAGGGCTGTGGCTCGCTCTCTCTCTCTCTTGCTAGAGAGCGAGAGAGCGCGGGTTGTCAGGTGCCTTAGTCTGAAAGAGCCAGAAGGAGCTCTGATGTAAAAGAGCTGGAAGACCGCACCCAGCCGCTGCTTCATCCACGTGCAGTGCCTGAAATCACCACAAGATGGCAGGAGAACACCACGCTCTTCTCCTTTCCTACTCAGCTACTTGGTGTTTGCTTGTTCCTTCCTTGATCTGCTCTTTCTTGCTTTTCACACATGTTGCACTGAGAATTAGTATCGCAGTTGTAGGTGCCCAGCTCAGTCTTATATGGGTTATAAGCCACCCCGGGACGCTGCAATAAGCTATGGGGGTTCTCGGGTGGCTTTGAAACTGTGCTGCACATCTCAGCACATTCAGATGATGCGGGATAATTAGACAAATTTTGCAATGTACGATTGGCCCCTGAGATGCAAGACAAAGCCTAGGAATTTGGGGCAACCCCAGGCAGCTTCTGAGCTCCCTTGGAAGATCCAAGTTAAGGGCAAGGAAATGTATGCTTTTATTCCAAATCAGAAAGTCGCTTTGAATCTGTCACACTAACCATCTTGCCAATACATCAGCTGCTTCCAAGAAATTGCCTTTCTTGGAGCAATGCTCACAAGAGCTAAATGCAATGCACTACTTCTAAACGTAATGCAGGGGGAAAGGGGGAGAGCCCCTCTTCCATCTGGAGCACTCTGGTGTTATGTTAGGCAGCATCCATGTGCAGATGGGTGCAAAATGCCAGTGTTTATGTAGCTCGGTAGACAGAGATTTACTTAACAAGCTGTTTCTGCAGCGTGCTTGTCACTGAGATGTCAGACTGCACAGTGAGTTGTTTGGGGAAGGTGACACCAAGCATCAGTCTGATTCCAGCCACATCGGTGATCTGCTCTCACTGGCTCATAGACAGACACGTGTGCGTATCTGCATCCGTCTGTCCATCTATAGAGAAATGACTTTCCATTTGTAAATTCACTTTCAAGTAAAAAACATGCACCTCAGTTGCTCTTTCTTTGTTTGGAAGTCAAACAAATTTTTTGGGGGGAGTCCTTGTTTATGTCAAGCCAAGTAAGTGAGCACATTGGATTGTACAGATTAGGTAGTTTGTCATAATTATGCACTGAATATTGATTTTGAGCAACATGCTCTTAAATTGTCCAATTGTAAGTACTTCCTAGGGGATGGAATGGGCTTCCACAGGAGGTGGCTGAGGCCCCATCGGTGCGAGTGTTCAAGGATAGGCTGGACAAGCACATGGTGGGCATGTTGTGAGCGGAACTGACTAGAGCCGGGGTCAGACTAGATGGCCTGGGAGGCCTCTTCTGACTCGCTCTCATTCTGTTTCTATGTTTCTATTTGTAAAAGAAAGCAGCCCTTCCAAAAATAGACAGAGTCCTTGACATTTTGACTCTAAACTCAAGGTGGCTTCTGCCTTTTTGCAGAATATAGTAATGGTCACTGTATGCTAACATAGACTATTGCTCTGTCACCTCTTTTCTTTGCAGCAGAGTTGCATGGTTTTCACACAATTAATGCCTTTTTGAACCAATGCCAAGATTGCAGTACAGACAGCCACCGTTTTAATAACTGGCTTTTTTCTTGTCTTCATAAAATTTGAGATGCACTCAGTGAACTCCATTGTCCCTATCCAATGTCATGGGAAGAATTATGACCAAGGTAAACATTTCATTATGAGATTCAGAGACTTAGACATAGAACGGAGCCTTTCCATGAGATTGCCACCTGCATGATAGTAAATAATGCCCTCCAGTTTCAGGTATTTCAGTTCATGTGCACATCTTGGATTTCATGTACAGTTTTCACCTGAATCCTTGGCTGCAGAGTTTTGTTCCAGGCAATACAGCGGCTTGGAATAAATTGTAAAATGATAATGACAAAAACCGATTGAAGGAAGTAGCTTTAAAAGCTCATATCATAAAAACTGGAAAGAACCTGTACAAAAAAAGAACCCAAAGAATCTGTTGATATTTACCCTTGTAGGGATTTCTTTCTGTTTCAGACAATTTAATTGATTAAGGATGAAAATCCCATGAATGTTTAGACAAAACTTGCATTTCCCATGTTGTCTGGGGAATGCTGGATGTTATAGGCCTTTTTCTGCCTAACATGTATAGGATTGTACCCTAAGATACATTTGAGTGAGGCTTGGAATACTCCAAAACTATGTACATCCGGTGTTGGTATCAAATTGCACTATGTGGTCACTGTGTTTATTTGCTGGTGTGCCTTCCATCTGTGCATTTTATTTCCAGATGGTGCTTCCTTTCCTAAGTGACCTGACTTTAGGAATGGCACAGGTTGAGGGAGGATGAAGGAATGAGGATTTGTTGGCCAGCCTGTGGAAAATGGTTTAAGGGGTCACCCAAGTGCAGATCACAGACAAGACCACACACATTTCTGTGCAGCCTTTGCTGACATTGACCCCGTGTGAGGATGCGGACCTTTCTGCCCTGTCCGCCCTTGTTACTGGGGTTGTATGTACTTCTGGAGTTCCAGCTACTCTCCGTTTTCAGAGATGAAGCATGGTGGAATAGCTGCTCAGCAGCAGGACATTTCTGCCCTTCCCCAGTACAATACTTGTGCCTTGCATGCTCCTTGAGTAGCACTTCCACTGGTGTGCACACACATTTCTGTGAGCACAGACAGGAGTAGCAACTGTATTCTGACCAACTTGTGTATTGTAGTGAACTCATAGTTGAATTTTAGTTCACGGAAATAAGCCCCGTGATTCCCTTGGAGCACTGTCCGTGTTCTCTTTATTACTCTTTGATACTCTCTGTACTACTGTGTATTACTGGTATAGTCACTGAACTGCCTCAAACTGCTTTAGGGCTAGGCATGTCTTTTGCCTAACTTAATTTCAAAGTAATTGGATGATGCCTTCTAACCAAGTGCTTTAGAGCTGGGCCAGGCAGAAAGTCGATCTCCCCAGATGTTTTGTGCTTCAGGTCCCAGCCATCTTCACCTTTGGCCAGGGTGGCAGAAGCCTCTAGGAGTCGAAGTCCAAAGCATCTGGAGACCTGTCATCTGCCCAGCCTGGCTTCAGGGAATAGCCCAGACTAGTTCACGCAACCAAGTTGGTGCACTGATATTCTAGCAGCACCACACTGGATGGCTGGCATGACTGTGTGCAATTCCTTTATAGCATAAAACACTGTCCTTGTTCGCCATAATGGCATAAAGCTGCTCAGGAGGAACTGTGGGTGAAGGCAGTTTTAGCCAAAGATGGAGTTCATGGCAGATTCTCCCCTGGTTCTGCAGGGATGGCTTTGCACCAGAGCTGCGGAAGTGCCTGCCAGTAACCAGGCCTCGCCTCAGGCTTTACACTCGACCCTTCCCACACTTCCCCATGGGGTGTGTGCCCCACTCTGTGTTGGGTGAGGGTTCGGGCTGGGGTAGCACACAGACACTCAGGCCTTCGGCTGTCCATGCATACCCTCACCCATAAGAAAGGGAACTTTTTGGCCTCCTTCCGTGCACCTGCTGCAGAAATTGGGGGTGTTCTTGAGAGCCTGAGAATTGCTAACCAATTTTGTGCTTTTGCTCAAAATCCCCCATAAAATCTGAGGCCATCCAAGTATTTTAGAGCACAGTCCCTACTGGTCAAGGATTGTGGGAACTGTTGTACGAAACATCTGGAACACACCACATCTGCCTAAACCTGCCCAGCCTGCTGCCTTCCAAATGCTTTGGATTACAACTTCCATCACTCAGCAAGTTGGCATGACCATTATAGTTGGAGTTGGATTCCAATGCATTTGGAGGGTACAAGGTTTGGGACGCTTTCCTTAGAGAAAATCAGGTGCATATGAATGTAGTGAGGGAGTCCAGAGTCAGTCTCACTGCTCCCAATATATTCCCAGTGTCTTTTGATTCCGATTCGCTCAGGACTGCTGCATTCCTTGCAGCATTTGACTTGATTTGGGGTTCAGGTGCTGCTTTCTGCATCAAATCCCCGGGTTTTGTCTATTGGAAAGGGAAACACTAGATGTAAGTGTACTGATTTTCTGGTCTCTCTGTGTATAAAGTATGTATTGCTGTCCAATGTGTGTATAAAGTATAAGCAAAAAAATAAAGCCTATTTAGCACTTTACAAACCTGTGGTTTCTGATGTGGCATTCTTGTGCAATATTTGGCCAGTCGGCTCAGTGGGAAAGAAGAAGCTTTGCGGAAACTCTATTATGTGCTCTACCACGTCTGTTCTCCTTTAAGCAACATGTATTGTCCCCAGTTGGATGGCATTAAGGGTGCAGCAGTACATGTCTGAATAGAAAAAAGTCCTTCAGTTCCCAGCCATGCTGGCTGAGAAATGTCAGGACTTCTGTCTACGCATGCACAGGATTGCACCCCAAGATCACTTGTCTAAAATCAGAATTTCTCTCTTCGAGCTGAAAAAACGTCTCACGGAGGGAGACAGCTCTTTAGCAGGAAATACGTTCACATCCTCTTTGCGTGTTATTGTTATCACCAAGTCCAAGTAACTAGCTAAACGTGACTTCGTTTGAAGGCAGGGAAGGTACATCATTCCTCCAGCCATGAATGGCAAGATGTTTTTGGCTACAATTCGCTTTATCCCCCACCACTGGCCATGCTGGCTAGGGCTGTTGGGACTTTCACCAAAACACCGGGCGAGCCAAAAGTTGCCTGCTCTAGGCAAAGGTTCTTGGTGCTCAGCGAGTAACAAGCTCGACCCTGTAAGAAGTGCTACTTGTCAGAGAATCTCTTGGGGCCAACAGAGCAGAGCAGCTTGGCACCACAGCCTTAGCTTTGATGGCTGAGTGCAGAGACAACCTGTTTACTGCTGCACGTGATTTTGCATAGAAGGATCGACCCTCAGGAGTGGTTCAAGGGGGCACGTGCTCTGATTGTACTAGTAGTGCCCCAGAGGGGATTACGGAGCTTAGAAGGTCAGGCCCCTTCCATGAGTTGGTTGGTTTCAAAGGACCAGTCCAACACGCAACCACGCTGGTTGCATTTCGAGCTTCCAGAGGCTGTCGCTGAAAGCAGGAAACAGGAAGTGGGGGACAAGAGTAGGACAACAGCTTCTCTAGCCAAGGCACTTGCCTCAGCAAAAGAGAAAATCATGGACAGAATCCCAGGAGTGCCTTTGTGAAAGGGCCCCCTTGAACTGGATGTGGGAGGAGGCCTTTTATCTATAGCACATTCTTGCCATGTGGTGCAGACTGGCAAGAGGCAGCTCCCAGCAAGGGGATTTCTCTGTTGCATCAGGGATGTAGCAGCATTGTGTGAAATTTCCAGTTTTGTGAACCAGGTCCAAAGGTGGGCTTCTGAACGTGGGCTTGCCAGAGTTTTTCCAGGGATATCTCATGTCCTAAATGAAAGCTTCTCGAGCAGGAGTCCCTAAACAGTGGATCGCCACTTTGGTATGTACCTGTCCCATCGAAGCATCATAGGATGGGTCTTGTCAGCAAAAATAGTTGTTTTGTGTGCGCTGGACAATGCAACAACTCTTTAATAAGGGACCGTCTAATTCAGCTATTTTGGGGGGTGCAATAACACCAATGCTTCTTTTTAAACACGTATTTTCTATTTGGGAGGAGGATGTGCAGATGAATTTTCTTCTGGAACAGACTTCAAATCTACTGATGTGCACACAGCTCTGCTGGCTTCATGCACATGAACACATGGAGGGGAAAATGGACTCTCTGCATCCTTTGCTGGCTAAAAACTTGATTCTACAAAATAGTATGGATGATATTCACTGTAATGCAATGGACTGAGGACCTTGCAGCACAGAATATGGACACGTGTCAGGGAAGCCAACTCAAAGGGTTACTTCTTTGGATGCCCGGTCCACTTTTGCTGAAGCCCATGCATAATTGCAAGAGATCTATACTCATTTCAAACAAATCTGTTTTGAAAGTGGGGAAATTTTTTAAAAATCAGGGTGTCCTTTAAGCACTGACTTTGCAGACATTGGAGGTGTCCAAGCCTGACATGTTGGGAGCTCCAACTCTGGGCAAGCAAGTGCCGAACAAAGCAAGGGTCTCCCCACTTCCAGGGCAAAAGGGTGGGGGCTGAAAGAACACACAACCGCCTTTGTGGTTTGCTGCTTCAATCTCCTGCTGTGCCACAGCAGGTCCCAGAATGAAATGAGCAGCACAGTGAAATGGGCAGCACAGCTCTGAATCCAGTCTTTGTAGGGCCTGCACTTCTGCTGAGACATGTAGCAGTTTGAAGAGAAGCAGTTCAGTCTAAAGAGGAAAGTCCGTGTGGACGGGATATTTCTGCAGATCTTTCACCATGCAGCACGGAGTGGGGGTGGCGGCAGCACTGGAGCTCCCCACAAGACGCGTCGAGCTTCTGAAGCACCATGCAAGATTTCCAAACTCTGGGTCTGAGTTCTGGTTGGCACACTTATAAGTGTCATTTCTCCTTTGCAGATTGGGGAAAAGGGGGCAGTGGCTGCCGTGTGAGGAAGGCGTTTCCCTTCGCCTGTGCAAAGGTGGCTAGGGGGCACCAGGCACGCCCTGGGTGCTGTGGCTGAGCCAGCCAAAGGCCAGAACTTGTAGGCGGATGATCTAGGCTTCCCACCCCAGTCGTGACTTTGCGTGAGTGCCACTTTGGAGCTGTGGATGGGTGAGTGTTTGTTTCCCTGCAGCTTTCCCAGATTTAGCATCGCTATCAGAAGTGCGGCTGAAGGCTGGGGCAAGAGGCCTGCTTGCCTCTGTGCATGCATGGATAGGTGGGGACACTGGCAAGGGCGAGAGGGCTTGGCACCAAGTCCAGGCAGGCCAATGGGCTTGCAGGGTTGCAGGCTCTGGGTTGCAGTCCTGGGTCGCAGGCTCACCAACGCTTGCTTGTGCCTCCGGTGAGCTGAGCTGGCATTCGGGCGACGTCTCAGCCCTTCGTCTCCTTAGGTGGGGTGAGGGTCTCATTCAGGTCTCTCTTCTCCTCTAGCCTGGCCACAGGGCAAAAGAAGGTCCTTCGTCCATTCTGGGCAAACGTTTGGCCTATGGGTGAATTATACCCTGTTCGGATGGCACCTTGCAGAAAACCTCTGCCCTAGCAGCTCCCGTGGTCTCTGGGCCAGTGCTCTGGGCTCTGAACCCAGCAATCCGGACGCGAGGCTCAGGAGGATGCATATCCCTTTTAGCATAGCCTTGCCACGCAGCACAGAGTGGCAGGAGACAGAGCTCCCAGCAAGCGGGGGCTTCTGTCGTGTGAGTCATGTAGAGCATTGTGTGAGAGAGGTCAGATCCTGGCTGGCGCTAAGGCCTCTCACGGTGCCGTTTTATTTTGGATTCTGAAAAGGGAAGTGGTGGCTCTTGAGCCACCCAGGGGCCCTGAAAGATGTAAAATGCTGGAGGACTGCAGAGACTCAGAACCAACACGCGGGATTATGGCACACCTGGAAGCTAATGGAAAGAGCTAGGCTGATGGAAAAAGACAGGCGGATATGATTTAAAACCTGCCAGTTTATCATTCTATTCTCTCCCTTTACTTTAGCAATTATAAGAGGTATGGAATTTGAACAGCACGGCAACTGTTCAGAGGAAAAAGCTATCAAATATGTTTCAGCCCCTAAAGTTCTAGCCTCTGGGAAGGAAATTCTTCAAGCTACTGGATATTTTAATGTGGAACATTCAAGCAGGAACGGCAGCCAGTGCACAGGCTATGAACGGATTTGACCAGCTGCTTGCTTGCTTGCTTGCTTGCTTGCTTGCTTTGTCTGTCTGTCTGTCTTTCTGTCTGTCTGTCTGTCTGTCCGTCCGTCCGTCCTTCCCTCCCTCCCTCCCTCCCTCCCTCTTTCTTTCTTTCTTTCTTTCTTTCTTTCTTTCTTTCTTTCTTTCTTGCTTAACTGGGTGTACTGGCCAGTCAGATATTTGGGAAGATTGTCTTCTAGCAAAAGGGAAAGAAATTACACTGCAAATAGAAGTGAGACTGACAAGACCGGGGAAAAAACAGAAGAGAGAAATGGTGATGGAATACTTCTTATGAGGTTAGTCATTGATCTTTACCATCAGTGATGTCAAGATTTTGCTCCTTGCTTATCATTTCTTTGCAAGTGTGGGAACCAGGTTCATTCATTCATTCATTCTTACCTGCTTTTCCTTATAAAATAATCCCAAAGCAGGGTGCAAGCCATAATGCACAGGGAAATTATACAACATTCTGGAAAAAAACACAAACACAGAAGAACAGTATGCTGTAAACAACAGGATAAAGAGAGGAAAATTCAGTCAAAAGATTGGCTGAACAAACTGGTTTGAGCTGGTGCTGAAAACTTGTAAGGCTTGGTGCTGCCCATATTTGACTGGGCAGGGAGTCTGACAGAGGGGTAACACCTTCTCTTGGTACCTCTTAAACTCCAGGCAAAGACAATAGTGAAGCATCTCTGTATTCGCTCTCTCTCACCATTGGCAGTGCTAAGTGTCCTCCTTCTCAGTAGGTGAGTACTTTTGATCCACAATAATATTTCCTTTGCTTCTTTGGGCATGTTAGCAGTATCTGCTGCATATCATTGCCCAGTTTTTGATTATTCATTCGTTTTGTGGCAGAGGCAGGACAGCCTAGACACACACACGCGCGCGCACGCGCGCCTCCAAAAGCCAAGAAGGATGGGGTATACAGTCAGTTGCTCATGCTTTTAATTACTGATTCTTCCTAAAAACAGGCGACTTTCAACCCAAAGCACATTGATCAGCCCAGACATTTTTATAGTGCATTCAGCTCCAAGCTACTAGCATGGTTTAGAGATCTCTGCCCATAAAATAGCTTTTCATTCCAATAAAATGCAGCCTGTCAAACGCTTATGGGAATTAAAGCCAGCTCTCAGTGCGCATTCCACCCTAAAAGAATACTTTCTGCTGGCAGAGGTGAGCGGTGCTGGGAGCCGCCTCCCCCTTTCCCGCAAATGCTCCGTTCAACCCCTTCCCCCAGCCAGCGCATCGCATGTGACCAGGGTGGCCCAAGCCCTTTTGCCCTGCGAGGCAACGAACAAGGTGGCGTCCGCTCCCGTGCCATGTGCATGAGCTGGCTGGACTGGCAGCTGACTCCTCCTTCCATGCTGGCCATGGCGCCCTCCTGCACCTGAAGGCAGCGGGCTCGTTCTGGGAGAACGGGGCGGGCCCTA